GACTTTCAGCAAATGATAGGATGGATTTGAGGTATTTAAGCCAGCCCCTGGTGGCACTGGCTCGTTATCAGCTTACCCGTTGATGTCATTGATGTTGAGATTTTTACTATCTTTGTGGTAAACTTTGGTAGTGGTGTGGTTGTAGAAGGTGGGAAGGTGGTGCCATATGTCGAGTAACAAGCTTTAGTCTTGTTCCGGCTGTAGTTGCAGGCACTGATGCTATAAATGCTTTAGCTGGTGCTGACATTGCTGGGTGGTAATGTCGCTGTTGCTGTTGTTGTTATTGTTGTTGTTGTTGTTATTGTTGTCGTTGCTGTTGCTGTTGAGGTGATAATCCTCCAGGTCTCATGTAGCTCATTGAACCCTCTGTGCAACGACGTTTAGACTTCATCTCAGATAGTGAGATATTTCATAGAAGCATTGTAAATATTTGAACTCGAAATTTATCTGTGCAGTGAATATTTATTACTTTGTGCGCAGATCACAGATTTTGCCAGGTCGTTTGGTGACCCAGATGGCTGTGTGAGATGTCTATGTAAGATAAATGTATATCACCACTGGTGGATGAAGGCTCACCCCTGAAACAGAGAACGATTTGAGAAAGCCCTATTATCCCCCAGTGAATACTTGTGCCACCGCTAAAACAATAAATGCCTCAACGGAAGAGGAAAATGTCATCGATGAATCAGATCGTCAGACTTTGAAGAAATCTTGAGGAATTGGAGAAATAATCCTTACCTCGCATAGGTGCCAACCTTCAGCTTATAAAAAGTTGCCAAGTTTGTAATCCCTTCCACAACTCCGTTTATTCTTTTTTCTTCTAAAAACGTCGTTATAGTTATATGGCAAATATATTATGATTCAAAACGCTCTAAACGATGCCTTTGAAATACGGTGGAAGGTGGAGAATGGTTAGAATTCTCATATAACCGATGCCCCCCCCCTTCCTTTCCAACCCTTTACCATACTCATGGCCCTCCAGGCACATCTCTTAGTCTCCCTCCCCCTCTCTCTCTTCATCTCTGTCTCCCTCTCTCTCTTTCTCGCTCTCTCTCTCCTCTCTCTCTCTATCTCTCCCTTC